AATCCCGAATCAGAGCTTCACTGTTACATTGATACATTTTCTGCCTGGTGCTTTGCTTATTTTAAGCAATCTGGCAACCATGCACTGGCTCCTCATTGCGGAAGCGCCGACGCCGATGATCTGAAAACACAGACAAACAAGCTGGAGTTTAGCGATCTAAATGAAAGTGTCACTCAGCCGGTCTGTGTTCTGTCATGAGATCTCAACTACATTGTTTGTGATTGTGATCGCTGAATAAATGCACTTACTCAACCGCTGTTGTTTTAATAGAGAAATAGGCTATTGAAATTTGGAATTACTATTACTAGTTATAATATTTTTTGTTTGTTTTAGCTGTTTTCATACTGTAGACAGAGAAATTGCATAAGTCTTTGTTATTCATTTATATAATAAAAAGCCTATAATAAATCAGTACACTAGATGAGATAAAATACACTATGTACGTGTCCACATTGTTTTGATTTGTGCTTACTGGTGAAAGTGCAATACCAGAAATGCAAAAGTAAATTTCTCAAATAACAAAAATCATTACGATTATAATTTTGAGATTTCATTGACTAAAACCTGACTAAATTACTCATACAATTCATTGACTTAAACTTGACTAAACAAAAACAGGACAAGGTTGTCTAAATATGATAACTAAAATTTACATTTGAGTAAGACTAAATTATGTAAAACTCAAGAATATTGTAGCGCTCCAAAAAAAAAAAAAATTCCTTGTACTGCAGGTGCGTAGAGCCAGTAGGATATTTGAAAATGAGCAAGAGGGTGGCTAACCGCACACTGATCCACTCAAGACTAAAAAGTCTAAAAAAAATGGCTGCCAAAAGGAATACTGTACGGTTAATTAATAATAATTTTATTGCTAAAATGTCAAGTTTTCATTGACTAAAACTAGATTAAAATACTTCAGGTTTTCTTGGACTAAAATATGTTGAGACATTTAGTCAACTAAAACTTGACTAAACTAAATAGGATAAGGTTGACTAAATATGAATAAAACTCAGGGAGTCCTGTATATTGTTCGGTTCCGGTTACAGAGCCTCTGCAGCAGGGCGACTGAGAGGCGGCATAGTCGTGGATCAAAACACCACTCTTCCGTTCCGATCAAAACATTAAACAGGTTCTTCCCAATCAGTGATGCACCCACTGAGAAACCTGATTAAAGTGCTCTAGTTATTGGTGATTCTATTGTACGGAACGTGAAAATAGAGACACCACCCTTACCAAAATGTAGTATACTTCAAGTTTATTTTAGTAAGAATACTTAAGTAAAGTTCAAGTATATTTTTAAGTATACTTTATGTAGTAAGTATACAAATATCAGTCTACTAGTAGTATACTTGTAAGTGTACTATTTCAATACTCCTTGGGACTAAATTGGCCCACTTTCTAGTATATAGAAGTATACTGTTAAGTATACTTTAAGTATAACAGTAGTAAACTTTGAGTACATCAACTAGTTTACATCAAAATGTTTAGTTTGCACTGCAACTATACTAAAAGTGAACTTATAGGTATACTGATAGTTTACTAATTAAATACTTGTAGTAGCATTTTATCGTACACTTTGAAGTATAGTCTCAGTAAACTACTAGTTTAGTAGTTTTATACTGCAAATATACTCGTAAGTTTTCTTTAAGTTAACTTTACGTCATACTTTAAGTATACTACTATGTCCCTATTTAGGTATTAATTTGAATATATTTTGTTATATAAATATCTGAACATACAAAACATCAAAAGAACAGGGTATCTGCTTGTAAACAAAAACATTTTATTCTAGCTTCATGCATTCTTTTTTTAAACACTTGAATGTGGATGAGTTTCATAAATACAAAATAAAGAAATAAACAACATTTTGAACAAAAAGCTGAAAAAAGACTGAATTGGATTCAGAATGATAATCAAAACGTAGCTAAAGTCAATCAACACCCCAAAGCTTGACAGTCATTATTACCTTTTCATTGGTCGACATTTTATTCCATAATGTTACATAGTTTTGATACTGTTTTATGTCTGATGATCGTTTTAGAATACATGTGGAAGCATCTGTTGTTTCGGTTTCTTCTTCGTGTTTTTTGAAAATTCTGTACAGAAGATGTGTACCAGTGCCCCCTACAGTATAACAATGAAAACACGGATTCTAGGAACACAAGTATAGCTCAAATATATTTAGACTTTTTCTAAGTATTAGTCAAGTATACTTAAATGTCATTTTAAGTATATTTCTGAGAAGTACATAAAGTCCATTTCTGAGAAGTACATAAAAAGTAGACAAAGTATACTTTCCTATTTTTAGTTTAAAAGAAGTATACTAATAGCACACTTGAATAAACTTCTTTTTCGTAAGGGCAGCCACCATAGTCCAAGGTTTACCGGGAGCCAAGAGCGCCTGATATCTTGGCAAATTTAAAAGTGCTGGCTAATGCTAAATGTAAATTCAGTAAGATTGTTATTCACGCTGGTGCTAATGATGTTCGACTTCGCCAGTCGGAGATCACTAAAAATAACATTAAAGAGGTGTGTGAACTTGCAAGTACGATGTCAGACACTGTAATATGCTCTGGTCCCCTCCCTGCATACCATGGTAATGAGATACATAACAGACTGTCGTCACTCAATTGCTGGATGTCTAAGTGGTGCCCGCAGAATAACATTATAATAACAAATAACAAGCTGCTCTTCTCTCTAGAAATATGGCACATAGTCTTGGAGTTTGCACTTGACTAACTGGGGCCCAGGTCAGGGGGCAGACATACTGGCTAAACCGACTGTCTGCTAGCCGCCTCATGCCACAGAAATCAGTTAATTCTCAGCACATAGAGACTTTTTCACCTAGATATCACACTATGGAGACTGTGTCTGTTCCCCGAACTAGAAAATACAAAAAACTTCCAAACAAATTGAAGAGTAACAATTGAATTGATGTTCAACAAATAAAAAACAGATGTAATACGGATAAACAAATGATAAAGCTTGGTGTAACAAAGTTTGTAGATCAGGAAGAAGGAGGTGGGAACCGGCGAACATTTAAACATAATTTAATAACAAAATAAACACAACTGAAAATAGCACGAGAGAGAGTATAGGCTACTATGTGTCAAGAAGTTTGATTTATTG